ACATCTTCGAGTTTGGGGATGCACAGCCTATGTGCACGTCCAGAGGGACAAGAGAGATGGACTTGGCTCCCACATGGAAAAGTGCGTCTTCATTGGCTACCCTGCTGGCTACAAGGGCTGGAAGTTCTACAACCCCACCTCCAAGAAGACAATCATCTGTGAAAGGGCTGACTTTGATGAAAGATACTTCCCTCTGTCCAAGCGCCCATCCAGTCCATCCATTCCAGCTCCCATCGCTCCAGCACCTCCTGTCGACGCTCCCCATCCTCCCAGACAGTCGAAGACTACCTCTGAGCCCCCAGCAGCGCCCTCCTATTACTATCCTCCTCATTCAGATGACTCTGACTCTGACTCTGACTCTGACTATGATGAGTCCAGTTCTGATGAGTCACTGGATCAAGGGGGAGATGTGGTCCCTCCAGCAGTTCCTGATGTCCCTCCTGTCGTCCCTGTTCCTGATCCAGTCACTCCTCCTCCTGCAGCTCGTCCCAATCCACCTCCTAGACCACCATCTCCCATAGGCATTGGTGCCAGACTCCCTCGACGCAACAGGCAACCTCCCAGAGACTGGTGGAAGCTCTCTCCAGCTCAGCTGACTGATGTTGTTGATGATGAGACTGAGGATGCTGACTTTGCTCAAGGATTTGAGCTTGCCTTGTCTACCAGCTCTTCCACCGAGCCATTGTCTTATAGGGAGGCATTGACTCGACTTGATGCAGAGCAGTGGAATCAAGCAGCTCTTGAGGAACTCAATGCTCATCGCAGCAATGGGACTTGGAAACTCGTACCTAGACCAGCTGGAATCAAGGTCATTGGCTCCAAGTGGATATTCAAGGTGAAGCGCAATGCTGATGGCTCTATTGAGCGCTACAAGGGCAGACTTGTTGCCAAGGGCTACAACCAGCGTCCTGGCTTTGACTATGTCGAAATATTTGCTCCAACTGTGCGTATGCCCACCATTCGCGTTGTCCTTGCTATGGCTGCCATCCATGACCTCCACCTTCGCTCCATCGACATCTCACATGCCTATCTCAATGGGGAGATGGACTGTGACGTCTACATGGAACAGCCTGAAGGCTTTGCTGAAGGTGATCCCAAGAAGATGGTCTGCCTTCTTCAGAAGAGCATCTATGGAACCAAGCAAGGTGGCAATCGCTGGAACAAGAAAATGCGCTCTGTTCTGGAGTCTATTGGATTCACCCAGTCCTACTCTGATGCCAGCATCTATATCTATGTCAAGGGTGAAGTCAGGATCATCTTGCCTGTCTTTGTTGATGACATGACCTTTGCATCAAAATCTGCTTCTGCAATTGATCAGATCATCAAGGACTTGTCTCAGCACTTCAAGCTTCGAGACTTGGGCCCTACCACCCAGCTTCTAGGCATCAAGATTGACAGGGATCGCTCCAAGCACTCCATCACCATCTCCCAGCGCCAGTACTGCCTTGACATCCTTGATCGCTTCAGCATGGCTGATTGCAAGCCTGTCTCCACTCCCATGCAGCCCAATCTTCGACTCACTCGTGCTCAGTGTCCCCAGACTGCTGATGAGACTCAGGACATGCGATCCACTCCTTACCTTGAAGCTGTGGGTGCTCTGATGTATCTTGCCACCACCACTCGCCCAGACATTGCCTACACTGTTGGCTGCCTTGCTCGATTCAACTCCAACCCTGGCCCTGCCCATTGGCAAGCTGTCAAGCACCTGCTCCGCTATCTGAAAGGCACTGCAGACTACTCCATCACCTATGCTCCTGATCCCAATTCCATCGAACTCTTCTCCACATTCTCTGATGCTGATCATGGTGGATGCAAAGACACTGGTCGCTCCACTGGTGGCTACCTGGTCAAGATTGGCCTTGGTGCTGTCTCCTGGTCGTCGAAGCTTCAAAGCATTGTGGCCTTGTCCACCACTGAAGCTGAGTACATGGCTGCAGTTGAGGCAGGCAAGGAGATCCGCTGGATGCGAAATCTCTTGTTTGAGATGGGCTTCCCTGCCTCTGCACCCTCTGTCCTTAGGATCGACAACCAGAGCGCCATCTCTGTGGCCAAGCACCCAGAGCACCATGGTCGGATGAAGCAGCTTGATCTCAGCTGGTATTGGCTTCGAGATGTGGTGCACAAGGAGATTATTGCGCCAGTGTTTGTGCCCACTGCTGACCAGCCAGCTGACATCCTGACCAAGGCATTGGCTCGACCCAAGGTGCAGTTGTTCTGCCAGATGATGGGACTGAGTAGCTTGAGGGGGAGCTGAGATGTGTAGAGGTGCACAATCAGGGGGGAGTGTTAGTTGTGGTGATTGAGCATCTCATGGTGCGAGTTATTTGTGTTATGATGTTGCTTCCTCTATCGGACTCTCACTTAGCATGTGATGTGAAATCCATTACTTACTTAGGCAGTGTTTACACTTGTTTACATAGACTCGCCCATAGGTAGCAAGTCCTGTGTTGGTTGCTCTTCAGCAACTGACACTGGACTATAGGTATAGTACACTCATTAGTTTACACAACACAATAGCAACTGACACTGGACTATAGTCCTGTTCACTCTCATTAGCTCACTTGTGGCTTGCTTCACTTGGTTATTCTAACAACTTTTCCATGTGGGAGCCAAGTCCATCTCTCTTGTCCCTCTGGACGTGCACATAGGCAGTGCATCCCCAAACTCGAAGATGTGAGACATCAGGCTTATTACCATGCCACAGCTCATAGGGTGTAGCGCTGTCTACAGCTTCAGTAGGGCATCTGTTCCAGACATGGACCAGAGCAGCAAGGCATTCGCCCCAGAAGGCCTTGGGAAGCCCAGACTCATCCAGCATAGCAGTGAGTCGCTCAGAGAGGACTCTGTTAGCTCTCTCAGCAACCCCATTCTGCTGTGGTCTAGCACGAACTGTGTGCTGCCTCTCAATGCCGCACTGGGTGGTGAATTCAATGAAGGCATTGCTCATGTACTCCCCTCCCTTGTCATCTCTGAGGATCTTTAGCTTTCGCTCTGACTGGTTCTCAGCATAGGCCTTGAATGTCTTGAAAGCCTCAAAGAGATCAGACTTAGCTTTAATAGGGAGCACAAAGCGAAATTGAGAGAAGTCATCGATGAACGTGACCCAATAGCGATAGCCAGAGAAGCTGGGGTAGGGGACCTTATGGACATCGGTGTGGACAAGCTCCAGAGGTCGGGTAGCACGCCATTGAGATGAGGGGAATGGGTTTGCATGCATCTTGCCAGCTAAGCATGGCTCACAGATGGGATCTGGCATCTTCTTTGAATCTAGCTTGAGTCCAGTGACCATGTCATGATCAATTAGCTTCTTGACACCTGCTAAGTGATGGTGGGCGAGTCTCCTGTGCCATAGGTCCAAGTCCAGAGGTAGAGTGGTCGCTGCAGAGGCATATTCAGAGAGAGGGACAGTGGAGCCATCTAAGAATGCTGCATTGCTGCTGCTGATGGGTGCAACAAACAATGTGGTGCCTGCAGGACACTGAAATGACATCTTGGTGGAGTCAATGGTGACATGGAAGCCACTGTGGCGAGTGAGGTAGAGGACAGAGAGCAGGTTGTTGCGAAGGTCAGGGACATGCAAGACTCTTGAAAACTCGACAGGTCTAACGCTCTTGCCATCAATGACTGGGTTAAAGACCACAGTGCCAACACCAGCAGAGTAGACAAAGGTGTTGTCAGCTAGCTTGATAGGGATGCGATTGGGAGTGTAATTGCGAAGCCAGTGACGATGGGGGGTCATGTGGGATGTGGCACCTGTGTTTGCATTCCAGTCGACAGTAGCATCAAGTTGAAGGGGACAGATAGTGCTTGAAGGGTCAAAAGAGCGAAGACAAGCAGTGCCAGCAAACTCAATGATAGTAGAGTTGATAGGAATAGGAAAGGAAGTGGGAGAGGGCGATGCAGTGGGGACTGTGAGACTCTGAGTCTTCCTGGAGAGCTTCTTGGTCTTGTTCCTCCTGCTACGACGCTGTCTAGAGTACAGGGAGGCAAGGGTAGACCAGATGAGCACAGGATGATCTTCAATGGCATCAATCTGTGACCTCGTCTCCACTGGGCAAGCCAGATAGAGTTCCCCAGCAGCTTGGTCAGCCTTAAGGTCCCATACAGCCTGTGCCTCAGGCTGTGAGTCTGCAGGACGCTTCTCAGAGCCACTGACAAGCAGCCACAAGCCCTTGGAGCGCAGGTAAGACTCCATCTCTGATCTCCAGATAAGATAGTTGGAAGAGCTGAGTTGAGTGATAGTTATGGGTGACATAGCAAGGGATTGGGTGGCAAGTAGGACGGTCTAGGATGATGCAGGACGTTCAGGAAAGCAATGGATAGGACAGGGAGCAACAGGGGGTAGATGACCAAAAGGGGCTATGGAAAATTTCAACAAAGCCACTTGGTTGAACTGCTCAAAAGCAACACAATGGGTGTTCCAACAGTCCAAATGGTGCTCAGACACAAAGATAAGGGTTTCCTGGGGCGTAGAATGCGATGGAATACACTAGGGAAGGAGTGGAGCAGTAGTTGGATGAGGAATGAATGACTTGAGGTCCTTAAAGCGCAGGGCTCATAACCTGTTAGAATAACCAAGTGAAGCAAGCCAAAAGTGAGCTAATGAGAGTGAACAGGACTATAGTCCAGTGTCAGTTGCTATTGTGTTGTGTAAACTAATGAGTGTACTATACCTATAGTCCAGTGTCAGTTGCTAAAGAGCAACCAACACAGGACTTGCTACCTATGGGCGAGTCTATGTAAACAAGTGTAAACACTACCAAAGTAAGTAAGGAATTCACATCACACGCTAAGTGAGAGTCCAATAGAGGAAGCAACATCATAACACAAATAACTCGCACCATAAGGTGCTCAATCACCACAAATAACATAGATGGAGGGGATGACTTGACACTTCCAGCTTGGTCCACTGGGAAGCATCTCTGCACAGCTTCGCAATTCTCTAGCATTGCTGGAATGAAAGGTGTAATTTTTGGACCTAAACAGGAGGTAAACTACTCTCAATGATGCAGAGTGCAAAGACCAGTACTTACCAGAGGAAGCTTCAAAAACACATCAATCGCTGCCATGCTAAGGGGTGAACACAGAAGGAAATCACCAATTTCCCACTCTTCCTTGGATGCCTTCCTGCACTCAGCAAATTTATCAGCGTTGAATAGATCTAAAAAGGTCAGTCCATCCTTAGAGTAACACATCCTGGCACTCTTGTACTGCTCCTCCAATGACCCTTCAGCCGCTCCAAAGCCATCCTTGATGAAATTAAAGTCGCCATTGAAGTTGGCATGTTCCTGATCGTCTGAATTGTACATATCAGTAGTCGGAACCCCTGCATCAGCTTGAAGTGAGGTGTGACATGACGGCAGTTCTACTTCTGTGAACTGCAAGTTGTTGACAATGTCCCAGATGGAGCTATGACAGGATGTTCGGGGTTGGCTGAGATGGCGAGTGACGCTGCTGTCCTTTGCGAAGATCTTCCTACAATTTGGACATGTTGGTACTGACATGAAAGGTTATCACACGCTTCACACAGTCGTCACATGCCTCATACTCTTGTATATTGATCACTTACCACATAGTATTTGTCATATCCATCCCATGAATTCCCTCAGCTCTTCTCCATCTTTAAACTTGCCTACATACAGTCACAAATCATATACAAGTCCAAATTTCACAAATATTGAATGCGGCTCAGTCATACCATCTGGGAGAGGAAGATTTTCCTTCCACCATGCACCTTGTGAGATCCCCCTTCTATTTTTCTTCTCCATCTCATCCATCTTTGATAGAGGGTCAATTACCTGTCTGTCCAAAAACTCTTACCTCCAATCCCCTTAATCCTATCAGCCTCCAACTTACTTCTTCTGCCTCATCTGCCCACCTACTTATTGTTCTGCCACTAGTAGTTGTTACTTCCCCAACCCTCAAGCAGATCAAAGTGGTCCTCTTGTCCTATCATTGTACAACATTGGTCCTACTCCAAATTCAGGGCACATATTCAGCTAAAGGTGCAGTGAATTCTCACAAGTAGTAACTGCGGGAAGAGAAGTAATATTAAGACTGGGGAAAATATCTAAGTACAGGATATGTTATATACTTCTAAGTATGAGGCAGTGATCAGGATAACTATGTTGTAAAGCTATGTACCAAGGATATAATTTGTAAGTACTTACACAGGTGAAGACATAAGTCGGAGCGGATATCAATATGTACACGTCAGATCAGTGATCGAGCGGTAAGAGGAATTACCGGTGATCCGGAAGTAAGGATCTATGTACCAAAGGGGAAAGTATATATCTAAAAGGGGAAAGCGGTTCCAGTTGAATGGAGGCATTATGGAAGGGGACCGGTTGGGCGGTTGAGCAGAAGCGTAGGAGCAGAACAATGACTGTGATTGGACGGAGCGGATGACAGATGGAGTGGAGGATGGTCGGAGAGTGGAGCAGGATATTCAGTATCGGAGCGGTCGGATCAGGTATATGACAGAAAGACACAGAAGGAATGAACTGCGTCATCACTTCAGTGCGTGCCCACCAAGCACATATTGCCCATCATCCATAATCATGTGCACATCTCACCTGCTATCAATGACATGTTGTCTTATAGTAACAGCGCACCTTTCGAGAAACAAGGCCAAGGTCCCTCAGCCACTCAAGAGGACATATGCACTCTACATGGAGAATGACAAAGAATCAGACAATGACCAACCACTGCAAGGTATTGACAATGTCCTTGCAAGCATCCATGCCCGCTACCCAGCTATGGAGTTTCTGCAGTATGCGGATAAGCCTGAAGGATCGTGGCATACTTTATCTGGTGACAGCAGCACATTTCAGTATTCAATTTGATGAGGAGAAAATCAGGGATGCCAGAGGGTGCTGCATACATGTTTCACACTGGTATTTACAAAGCTCATATGAAGGAGGAGCGCGTGAAGACAAGGAGGAAGGTGAAAGGGAAAAGGAAGGCACAAGTACAGCCTGACAACAAAGATGAAGAAAACATTCATACTCTCAAGTAACAGAAGGTGCAGCGTCACATATATTTTCCTTGCACGAACTTTTATTCACCTGCTGATTGCATTAGGGATATGGAATGAGGCAAGCTGACAAGCTGGTGAGTGCGATCAGCATCAGTACCATCACTGTTAAAACAAAATACGCATGTGACCGCATTTACAGTCTTGCTGAAGCTTACCAGTCAATGAAAAAGCAGGATCAGCTTTAAGATATCTTGGAATGTTGTGAAAATGGTACAACCATCTATGCACATATACGACTTTTGTCATTCATATGCTGCCATTGAGGGATGCTATACTGTAACCAATGTAGATACCAACTCAGCGCCATTTGTTATTATATACCACTGTCTGGATGTTGCCTTCTGCAACTTTGAATATTAGTGTGCTTTTTTGTTGAAGAATCCTGTAGGCACCTTCTCATAGTCAGGGCCATCAGCACAGCATACATGGGTACATGAATGAGCTCAAACTGGATTTTGCTGGAGCCCTATACATTTCACTTTCAAAGGCCCATGTCAGTGCAATTACTGATAGTATCAGTAAAGCTATTCTGCAAGTTTTTGTCCATGTTTGCTGCATAAGTATAACCAGCATCCCCACTAGCCACTGAGTTGGTCTACTGAATCCACTAGGCAAGTCCACCAGGGCTGACTCGAACTATGTTGACCCATTGAATAACAGGAGTGTTGCATGCAGTTTGATTTGCACTAGGTCTTGTTGCCAAAATATTTTCATGTCTACTCTTGAGCTCAATAATTTTGTGGTGCATCACACATCATTTGGACTTCATCATGATCCAGAATAATCTGTGTTCCAACTGGAGGCCTGCAAATTCATGTGGATGGCAAACACTCCTCAACTAGGCTTGCCACTGGAGGACTGTGATGTCATTGGCATCTGCCAACTTTAATAGTGTTAGTTGGCTCATTAGTATTGGCTTGTGGCTCAGCACTTAGTGAGCACTGACAAACTGCTAACCTTTCGACAGAATAAACTTGATGGCTGAGCACTGATTATGAAACAGGCCAGAGACTCACCAAGCAATGAATACCACTACCATTTTAGCATATAAACACCCAGAATCATGCCAGTGCTGCATTGGCCAATATCCATGGATCAACCTTCTTCACCTTTCATCTTCATCAGTTATAACTGCACCCCTGCACAATGAAGACAACATTTAGAGGTTAGCCAAGCAAGCTATGCTATGGACTTTTTCCCTCCTGCACTATGATGCAAAGTCAAAAACAATGATTGATTGGGATTGATATGATATCTTGATTATGTGTGTATTCAAATATCTTACCTAGGACTTGATGTGATACAGGCCTGCTGACAACCAGAATAACATGATTCCTCCAGATCAGTTTGAGAACTATAGAAAAAAGCGCCATCTCAAATATCCTTGCTGTCTTTGTGCTGATGAAACTCAACAAACCTATGTTGAGTCAATTGTATATCCTTGGTGGAATGTGACAACAGGAACTTGGGTTTGGATCACTAGATGTGCTACAGATAGTTGCACATATGAAGGTTTGTTTTTTGCTGGATGTCATACATCTTTCTGACCCTGACAATCATTCAGTAAAAATTGACAGATATTTTCAGCTATGGTCACAAAGCACTCATGTATATTGACACAGAGGTTGGCCTTACTCTACTACATAGATTGAATGTAGTACTGACTAAGTCACAGAATGTAAACCCCCAGCTATCTTGCAGACATGGTCTTGTCAAAAACAAGATATTTTGTTTTCTAGGCTTAGCTCATTTACTAGCGGTGGAATCAGCAAAGAGGAGTTCCAGAAATTGTTCAAAACTTGTGAGTTGTGCAATAGAGTGGGGACTAGGTGTGCTATAAGGTTCCACTAGTGCTCCAAGACTACTTTCAAATAAGAGTATCATATTAGATGATGACTTCTATTTGCCGAGCTGCTTTATTGATGCAGTTGGTACATGGTTTCTTATCTCAAATGAGTTCAACTCAAAAGTAAACCATCACACAAATTCCCATGTCCAAGCAGACTACATTCTGTACCATCAGCTCTGTACCTACATAATGATATCAAATCTCAAGAACCATCTTTCATCTCTCCTTCCACTGTCTGTAATTTCATGCAAAGGAGCTCTTGCTCTGTCCTCCTTCACTGTACTCAGTTGTCAGTATTTGATTGTTGATGATCTGTGCATTGTACTGACTACACGGTCATGGTGCTCAATAATCAGTACTCTTGGTGGATTCGGCTGACTACAATGACATGGAGATTGACTGGAATACAAAATGTTGTATGATGCAATTACTTCCCTGCCCTCACTCTAATGACTCTCCTAGTACTATCCCTCCTCAGTCACAGCTTCGTCTTTATGGTCAACTCCTTGGTTTGCACAAGTTGACCCAGCCAGGAGATCTCCCATCTGTGACCCCAGCAGTGCACTAGCAGCCTGTTGCACTGGCTTTGCTGGCCTCACCGGGCAAGCTTCGGAAGCAGGTGTTGCACTCCTTGCCTGATGTTCTGAGCTGACAGCGGTCCTGGTGCTACTCGAGCCACCTGCTGCACAGTTCTAGCATCATCCACATCCATGTCAGAGTCATCACCCTTCAGATCATCATCCCCTGATGACACTTGATTGTCTTTGAAGAGCCTGTGAGAATTGGCAGTGAGGGCATGGTGCAGCCAACCATCGATCTCAGATTCAGTCAATGAATCCTGCAGCCTCCTGATCATGATGCCCCGATGAGGGATGAAATCTTGAGACTCATCTGATCCCCTGGTCAAGACTGGTTTCACCATGTCACCATCTTTGTTCCTCCATGCTTTGAACAGGAACATCGGATCTCTACCTTTCTCCTGGCAAGCATACCAGAAGTTCAGCAAGGCTGTCGCATCTGAGTTTTGCAACTTCAAAGGCTCCTTCAAATGCACCTCGCTCGGAAGATACATGGGTAATATGAAGTCATTGTATGATGGTGCTCCATGGACGACAGCCTTGTTGATGCCAGAACAGAGTCCTGGGCACATCCAGTCAACTGATTCTCACAGGATGTTGTCAATGCAGACTCATGATAGTGTGTTGTAAGAAATGCCCTCACTATTGCCTTCTTGTTCTCGAGCTTTGTTTGCACGGTCTCCAGAAGCAAAGGCATGCCTTCCCCACACATACTACACTGACCAAACTCAGTCTTAAATGGGCCAGCTGAGGGACATAATACACCGTCTTAGACAGGTTAGCGGACCATGGGCCAATGTAATAATATCCTCATTGAAGATGGTGGGCCGAGAGGCAAATTATTCCCAATGGAGATGGGTGGGCCCATCTAGGTAATATCTAGAGTAGAATACAGTAGATGAGTTAGCCAAGGGAGATGGATCATAAGGATGAGTGGGCTGAGGTATTAGTATATTATATAGACAGATGGGCTGAGGTGGATGTGAATCATATGGATGGATGTGCCAAGATAGATGTATTATATAGACAGATGGGCCAAGATAGTGGTATATCATATGGACAGATGGGCCAAGGTAGATGTATATCTTATAGATGGGTGGGCCGAGAGAGATGCATATCATATGGATGGATGGGCTGAGGTAGATGAATCTCATATGTATGGATCGGCCAAGATCAATGTATATTGTATATGGGTGGGCTAAGGTAAGACATATATCATATAGACAGATGGGCTAAGATAGATGGATCTCATATGTATATAAGATGAACAGGTGGGCCAAGGTGAATGAATATTATATACACCGGTAGGCTGAGGTGTACCGAGGACCAAACCAAGTACTGAGTACCGAGTATGAAGCACCGACTATCAAGTATCAAGATCCCAGCATTGAACATCGGGTATTGAGGTTGAAGGGCTGAGGATTGAGGATCGAAAGCCGAGAAGGAAAGACCGAGTACCGAGCACTGGGATGCTCAGGACTCAGTTCTTGGGACTCTTAGAGCTTTGCACAATGGTGGGTATGCTGTACTGATTGATGAATACTCTACATTTCTATGGTACAAATGATTCACAGTATAGACACTATAGTACAATGAATGGTGGTATATCTACATCTGCATCACAACATCCTGCTCATCACTGGAATCATATTCCAGCAGGAGGTTGAGGGGTGACCCACTCTCAACAATGTCAGCGGCGCTCGGGACATCCTTGGGAGTCTCCAAAGGGGTGGGGTATATCGCTAGGGGGGCTGGAAGTGCAAAGGTGGATGCAAAGGTGGATACACCATCATCAGCTGGGCTGTGAACAGCATCAATGGGAACTGTTGATGCAATGGCAGTAGGAGGGTCCAATGCCACTTCAGTCTGAGAGGGCAGGATTGTTGGCTCCATTACCAGGGCAACAATAGTGGAGCATTCCTTTCCTGTAGTCAATGCTAAAGTCGATGAGGGGCAACGGTCCCAAGTGGTCATGGGACTGTGACCCGGGAGTGGCTTGATTGAGGAGTAGAGACAAAGGTGTGGTGGGAGGAGAATCTGGGAGGGGGAATGACAGATGCCTTTGCACTATCTCATGTTGAAGGCTCTCATGCAGCCTTTGGAGAGTATCGATCATACTCCACTGAGCAAGGACATGAGCCTCCAGAGCTGTGATGCGAGTTGTGCTCTCACAAATCGCCATCGACATCGAGTGGAGGTCCGGGATTGGGAGGTCCATGGCTGTATGTGGGGCAGCTGAACTCAATGATGCAATCACTGGAATTCAATCAATAACAGTCAATGTAGCATCAATTGAACTGACTTACCAGCTGCAGGGGGGACGAGCATTATTGCTGAGCCTGTGGGCTTGCTTTGGCCCTGGGACCGTGCCTTGGGCAGGTTGCCCTGAGGCTTGCTCGGAGCTACTGACAGCCCCTGGGATTGGCTTCGGGTGCGAACCTTCGACTGGAAGGTTGACGGGCCTGTCAATGAGGCCCTTGACCACTCAGCAGACCATCCTCGAGAGGTGGTGGCAAGGGTCCCGAGATGTGCCAAGATGCACTTCATGTTAGTTATGGTGATTGAGCACCTTATGGTGTGAGTTATTTGTCTTATCATGTTGCTTCCTCTATTGGACTCTTACTTAGCATGTGATGTGAATTCATTACTTACTTAGGTAGTGTTTACACTTGTTTACATAGACTTGCCCATAGGTAGCAAGTCCTGTGTTGGTTGCTCTTTAGCAACTGACACTGGACTATAGGTATAGTACACTCATTAGTTTACACAACACAACAGCAACGGACACTGGACTATAGTCCTATTCACTCTCATTAGCTCACTTGTGGCTTGGTCTTCACAGTTATTCTAACACTTCACCTTTTTTGTTGTGCACAGGACACACAACATGAGGGCTGTGCCCTTCCGCTTATTGAATCTGGTGGTGCATGGCAGCTCATACTGCATGCAACACCTGCATGGGTTGTTCTGCAGGGGATGGTTAGTCAGTCGGGACAGCCAGGAATATCTCTGAGGTACTCACTGGTCTGGGGATGAGGATGTCCCTAGCATCCACAACTGGGGGCACATCCCTCGGGCTCTCAGAATGTCACGAATCCCAAATACGAACTATTTTTCATTTCTCGGTTTTCCTTCGGCTACTTCCAGTACCCGAGCTGGTCATGTGACTCCTCGTCATAGATCACCTGTTGCTTCTCCGATTGGCTCCCCTACTCCACGGGCTAGAACAATCTCGCTTCCTAAAGAAGAACCGGTCGGATCTTGGGTTTCTATTTAGTAACCGTCTTACTCATTTTGCTTATATACCATGATGTCATACTTACTCATCCGCAGTATTGTACGACTCTTTTCTCATTGGCTGATTTCTTTCAGACTCCTACTCAATGTTATGTATAAAAGTAGGGTAGTTAGCATAAGTGCTCCTTAGACTTAACCTCTTCGTTTCTTACTGTTGTAGTGACCTAGACATTTACGCTCAATCCTATTGTGTTTCTCATCATCTTTGACCGAGTCCTAGTGGTCGTGAACTCTCCTTCATCATTATTGGTGAATGTGGGTCATAACACAGAAGTCACTTCAGACAATTTGAGGACATCCGGGCACATGAGCGGAGGTGTCTGCTAAATGTTAGAATTAGGGTCCCAAGGTAATGAGTATAGCTTACCATGCCAGGGCCAAATGGGGCCTTCTTCAGCAAGCCATGTGATCGGGGAGGCCTGGAGGGTCTTGGTAGTTGGGCGGGGGAAACCTGCTAGGTCACAATCACAGAGGATGTGTCTGAACAGGGCTACACCATGGCATGAGTAAACATGAGCACAGAAAAGACAGACCATACCTTGGATAAGCCATCCTCTTCCTCCTTCTCATCCAAAAAATCCAACGACTCCCTCAATTTCCGTTCCTGCCTCGATGTCCCCCTCTTCTGAGTCTTTATTGCCGACTTCAGGAGTGGCTTTGACATCCATGGAACCTTCCACTTCCTGCTCTCTTGGCTTCTCCCTCGCTGGCTCCGGGTCCACTTCCCTAGCCTTCCCTTTCCCCTTCTCCAAAGCATCACCATCCATGCTTGTTGAGGGACTGGGAGCATTGTTGCTGGCACCACCATCGACCTCATGTGCAAGATCAAATAAGGGGTCTCCCAAGGCTTGCCAGGTGATGGCCTTGCTGCGCCAGCTGTGCCACATGAGTTGAGGGTCATTATGGCCGATGCTGTCTGACGTTGTCCGATGATAGGACAAGTGGACCGCTTAGGTCCACTTTGAGGGTCAGGAGGTAAGAGCTACTAGCGGCGGGCTGACTAGGAGCAGAGCGGAGGAGGTGGAGGATAATGTGGAGGGTGGAGAGGAGCAGGGGGAATGCTTGATAGGAGTGGAGAGGTAATGAGAAGACTTAGAGTGCGGCTCTAAGTTGGAGTGGAGGGTTGGAGGTGACAACAAGGTGAAACTTGTGTCCAGAGAAGGCAAGGTCCTACTGAGAATTCTCACAAGTAGTAACTGCGAGAAGACAAGTAATATTAAGACTGAGCAAAATATCTAAGTACAGGATATGTTATATACTTCTAAGTATGAGGCAGGGGTCAGGATAACTATATTGTAAAGCTATGTACCAAGGATATAATTTGTAAGTACTTACACAGGTGAAGACATAAGTCGGAGCGGATATCAATATGTACATGTCAGATCAGTGATAGAGCGGTAAGAAGAATTACCGGTGATCCAGAAGTAAGGGTCTACGTACCAAAGGGGAAAGTATATATCTAAAAGGGGAAAGCGGCTCCAGTTAAATGGAGACGTTTATGGAAGGGGACCGGTTGGGCGGTCGAGTGGAAGCGTAGAAGTGGAATGCGGACTGTGATTGGACAGAGCGGAGGATGGATGGAGTGGAGGTGGTCAGAAAGCGGAGCGGATATCAGTATCAGAGCGGTCGGATCAGGTATATGACAGCTTGATTGGACATTAAAGATGAATAGATCAATAATATAAGTTGTGAAATGGAATAACAGCTGGTAAGGAAGCAGTTTTACACAAACACAAGTCAATTGAACTTCAGTCAATAAATATTTCATTGTTGTGGATTATTTGCACAATGTTCACATTTTGGGAGTTTTCAAATAATCCACACATTTGAAGAATCAAATTGTGAGATCTGTGGATCAGTTAGACCATCAAGCCCAATGAATTCTTACCCCACAGTGCAATTTATGGAACCACCGGTGACTGAAATCATCGAAATGGATATTGATGACACTAGTCAAGCACAATCATTGACAAGCTCAACAGGTCCTTGGATGAGAGAGAAATGTCCGATGTTTGGTAAGATGTCTTCCTACATGCTTCTATTGGTTAACACATGCAATCAGATGACTTGTATCTTGGCCTGGACTATGATGTGGAGTATGAATCCATGCCCCTGCAGATCAGTCAGGAGCTATATCTCAGCCCAGAAGACAACTTCAATGGTGTGATTGGTGTGCCTGAGCCTTCCCACTGTGCGAGCAGTGATCCCCCAGGCCAAGTCATCAGTCCAGCACTGTACCTTGGGCCAGATGACATGTCCGATGAACCCATGCAATCTTGTAAGTGCTTCTCGACACTGAGCCATCCATATCTGATTCATTTTTCCAGTGAATCCAACAACTGCCAAATGCCTTCCAGCATGTCCGGCCCTTGACAATGAAGAGCTCTAAGCTATGGTTCAGGAGTTCCAGCCTGTTGGGTCATACCATGACATGGGATGTGAGTATTAATTGCAGGTCTATGTCATCGTGTCGTTCTCATTGTTATTGTAGTGCAGAATCTTCAGACCTGACTGACCGACTTCACAAATACTCACGGAAGCCTTCCAGACCCGTCCATACCGCAGCTCCTGGAGGCAGAGCAACCATTTCGATCTGCTTGGGTGGAGACATTCAACAAGCTGGCATGGGCTGATCGGGAGCTTCAAAGGATGCAGAGGGCTGAGCAGGCGAGCATCGAAATGCTCAATGTCATGGATTCACTGATTCAACACTCTGAGACCCAAATTCACCAGGGTCAAAGTAGGATACCTGACAATGTAGATAGCATACAACTGTTAGAGACCGTGCTTGGATGGAGAAGCGGAGGGGTCGGGGCTTGGCTTCAGCTCTTGCGCTGTGCCCTTAGCCGAGTATGTGCCCCAAATTTGGAGCGGATCCGACAATGTCCGACGATAGGATGAGTAGGCCGCTTAGGTCCGCTTTGGTGGGTCAGGAGGTAAGAGCTGCTAGTGGTAATTCAACTAGGAGCGGAGAAGGCGGAGGAAGATTATTGGAATGGAGGGAGCAAGGGGACAATGGGGGAAGTTGGAGAAGTAAGAGCAAACACTTTAGAGCACGGCTCTAAAGTTGGAGTGGAGGGTTGGAGGTGATGACAAGGTAAACTTGTGTCCAGAGAGAGCAAAGTCCTACGGAGAATTCCCACTAGTAGAGACTGTGGGAAGACAAGTAATATTAAGACTGGGGTGTAGCTAAGTACAGGATATGTTTTATATACTTCTAAGTAGGAGGAGGCAGTGACTGGTTAGTCCTTGGTGGGAGGCTATGTACCAAGCATACAATTTGTAAGTGAACATAGGTGAAAAACATAAGTTGGGGCGGATATCAATATGTACACGTCGGATCAGTTAGTCGAGTGGTTATAGGAAGTACTAAGTGCAAATGGGGAAAGTATATTCTCAAATGGGGCAAGAGGATTTACAGTAGAATGGATGATGCGGAAGGCAATCAACGAGGCAGGTCGAGCGGAGCCATAGGAGTGGATGCGGAAGCTGACTGGGTCGTGCTGGAGGGTGGACGGAGTGGAGGTGGTAGGATAACAGGGGAAGTAGGATGTCGGGCGGAGCGGATATTAATATTGGCGGAGTGGTCAGATCAGATATATGACAACAACCATGATCCTTACATTAGTGTACCATCATCATATGTGACTTTGACCAGACACATGGAATAGGAGATTCACATTGACTTCACAACCTGGCCCAATTGAATAGAAATTCTTTGACCAATGACTGAGGACTTGATTCCCTGTGCATCAGAGAGTGTTTGTCGAGCATTGGATAACAAGTACCAATGGCATGGCATCAGCCATTGAACCTCAATGGTTGAGTACCAAGGACTGAGGACCACACCGGTATCTCCTCCTCAGGACCTCAGGATCATGCGCCGAACACCGAGTAGATGACATCAACGCCCAAGCCCAAACCATCATACACGCAACTGTTGATGATAAAATCCTGTAGGGCCAATTGCCGAGTGCTGACCACCATCCACCTACCAGCATGGCATTTGGTGTTTGGCCCTATGGACTCGGGACTCGGGACTTGATCTTCAGTTCTTTACTGTCCAATATGTGGTGTTCAACGGTTTTGTGCCAATGAAATGTTACTTGGCAGTTGATCATTGGTATTTGGTCATCGGCAGTCGATCACCGGTCATCAATTGTCGGCAGTCGGTTGTCGGCAGTCGGTCCTTGGTCCTCGGTACTTGGTACTTGGTCATCGGCAGTCAATCATCAGTACTCAGTCATCGGCAGTCGGTCATCAGTAATTGGCCGTCGGTATTCGGTCGTCAGTCATCAGGCAATTGATCTTTGGTACTTGGTAATTGGCATTTGATCGTTGATGATCTGTGTATTGCACTGACTACACAGGTCATTGTGCTTGATAATCAGTACTCTTGGTGGATTCAGCTGACTACAATGACATGAAGATCAACTGGAATACAACATGTGGTATGATGCAATTACTTCCCTGCCCTCGCTCTAGTGACTCTCCTAGTACTGTCCAATGGCTTTTCCATCGTCTTACTTCGAGTTCTCCTCAGAGGTCCCACAATCACCTGTTTCTGTCGCTGGATTCCCTTTGGCACCAGGGATGTGTTTGTCTCCTCCTCAGTCACAGCTTCATCTTCATGGTCGACTGCTCGATTTGCATGAGTCAACCCAGCCAGGAGATCTCCCATCTGTGACCCCAGTAGCGCACCAGCAGCCTGTTGCACTGGCTTTGCCGGCCTCACTGGGCGAGCTTCGGAAGCGGGTGTCCCACTCCTTGCCTGATGTTCTGAGCTGACAGTGGTCCTGGCGCTACCCGAGCCACCTGCTGCACAGTTCTAGCATCATCCGCATCCTATGTCAGAGTCATCATGCCCTGGATCATCATCCCCCTGATGACACTTGGTTGTCTTCAGAGAGCCTGTGAACATTGGCAGCAAGGGCATGGTGCAGCCAACCATCAATCTTGGATTCAGTTGATGAATCCCTGTGGCCTCCTGATCATGATGCCCCAATGAGGGATGAAATCATGAGACTCATCAGATGATGACTCGTCCAATCCCCCAGTCAAGACTGGTTCCATGATATCACCATCTTTGTTCTTCCATGCTTTGAACAGGAACATCAGATCTTCACCATTCTTCTGGCGAGCATACCAGCAGTTCAGCAAGGCTGTTGCATCCAAGTTTTGCAACTTTGAGGGGTCCTGTTAAGACTGTGCTCAGGGGTAAGACAAAGTCTGAGGGGCTTGGCTTCAGCTCGTATGCTGCACCCCTTACCCAAGTATGTGCCCCTAATTTTCGGATTGTAGTCCAACTTGAGTTCTATGTGCTCTGACAGGATGTTGGAGCGGAGGTCCTCCGAAGGAGGACCATTGGACTACTAGGTAAGCGCGGGAATGTTGGGCGGAGATTAGTCCGCCCTACAGGGGAGAGTTGGAGGGCTACTGCAGTCGGAGCTAACAGTAGGAGTGGAGCGGAGAAGACTGCTCAGACGAAATCCAATGCAGGATGGAAATGCAGAGGAGAGAGGTACAAGAGCATTAGCCACATGTCTGACGTGCAGGAAAGGCAGCACAGGCACAGGAAGTCAGACAAGCGGAGAAAGTGGCCGACCTAGGGAGTCAATCCCCTAGGCCGGCAAACAGGAGTTGACTTGGGTTGAGCCTAAGTCAAAGGACAGAAGAACAGGGCTTAGGAAAGGTAATATTCAGACTGAGTATCTACAGACAGATGTACATATGTTTATATACTCTAAGTAAGTAGCATAGCATAGCAGAAGGCTATGTGCTGAGTGTACAGGATTACTGTCATATCCCATACCTCCGGATCCGGAATTCCAGATCTACTTCATTAAAGTCCGGTTCTCCGTCCTGCTATTCCACCCGACGCTCCGCCTTCATCTCCACACTCACCCCTAACTCCTTTTAGATTAGCTATTGCTCCTGGTTACCAGCTATGTCCTATTCTGCTATGCTTACTGATCCGTCCATTCTTACTTCATTTCTGACTTCACTGCTTTGATCTGTTACACTTACTAATAGACTTTCCATATGCTTTGTACATAGCCCTTACCTTTGCTGACTGATTTACTTACATGATACCTACAGTATATAAACCCCTGTAATACTCCGGAATTCCTCAGTTCGAATATCATCTTAGTTCTGCTCATTCCTGCAATCTCTGGACTTGAGTCTCACCTCTTGTTCACCTCCAAGTCTTAGGGGTTAAACCTTAGGACTAATCCTCTGGCTCTACCTTAGGGTAGTCTAACCTCTGTTCCATTTCTACTCCAGATTTCCGTAGTAGCCTTACTCTGTCCCCACATAGTCTTCCGGAGTTCCACTGAACTCCACTGACATTTGTCCTCCGGAACTCCCCGGACTTCCATTGGACTTCCCCTCTGCCCACCGGAAATTAAGGGCATGTACTCAGGTAAGGGGCGCAGCACACAAACTGAAGCCGAAGCCCTTTGAGTAACCTCTCCCTTGAGCACGACCTTAACAATTACAAGAGAGATGACTGAGACATATGAGAAAGAGGCTCGGAGAATAGTATGTACACGACGGATCAATAATCACTTGGGTATGGGATTACTGGTGATCCAAAATGAGGAACTATGATACTAAATGGAGATAGGACCAGTTGAGTGGTTCCTAGTCTAGGAGTGGACCAGTCAGGCAGTCAGGCGGACTAATAGTCAGGCAGGGCAATACAAGCAGAACTGAAGGAACTGAGTGGGTCGGAAAAGTGGAGGGAGTAGGATTGGGCAGACTGATAGGGCGGGGGAGTGGAACCCCAGATAGGGTCGGATGGAAAGGGAATAGCATCGGAGGGAATAGGGGTAGCATCGGAGGAGCAGATCGGAGTTGGGTGGAGGTAGCAGAGCTAGTCCTGCTAAGATGCACTTTGTGCATTGTTGGGGAAGGAGGAATGAAGCGGACGGGGAAACAGGGGGTCAGACCAGCAATAGGGATGCTCACGGGTGGTGTTGGAGGTTCTCAGATCTGGTATATGACAGGTCCTTCAAATGCACTCCACTCGGAAGATACATTGGTGATACAAAGTCATCCTCACATTCTACGATGGTGCTCCATGGGACGACAGCCTTGTTGATGCCAGAATAGAATCCTGGGCACAGCCAGTCAACTGATTCTCACAGGATGTTTCCAATACAAACTCACAATAGTGTGTTGTAAGAAACACCCTTACTATTACCTTCTTGTCCTCGAGCTTTGTTTGCACGGACTCCGGAAGTGAAGGGATGCCTTCCCTGTTCATGTTGAGTTCAAAGGCTGGTTTCCTCAGTCTTTTTCAATGTCCCTTCTCCTGTTGTTTGCCTATCCCTTGCCTCAGCACCTATCACCAGAACCGTCAATGACTCCCTCTACATCCCAACAGCTGAAACACTCACCAAACTGTGCTTGTGCATACTCCTGCCACATTGGTTTGATATCCTCCCAGTTCTTTGTCTTCATAAAGCTGTCTCCATCTCCCAATGCCTCATTATCATTATGCCTATGGGAAATGTGTTGAGATATCAGGTCTAGGATGATATTTGCAATGTACTCATGTTCCAAATAGCACCTGTCCCTGCTCATTCTTCCAGGCTGACAATACAAACACTCTCATCCTACATTGTCTCCACATCTCATTGGAGAAGTTCTTCATGTATGCAGGTCCCTTCTTACTGGGGACTTGCACTTGGATCTCGGGAGGAGGAATGTTGTTGGATCATTTGTCAGCTGTTTCTTTTGCCTTCTCTAACTCTTCATCCAACAATTCCACAATCACCTTCCGGACAGTCGCCTGGTAATACTTGAACATATCTGAAGCTCCTGGCTTCCCCCGTAGTCCACCTCAATCCTCTTGAGCACGTCATCTCTGTTCTGCTGATAGACCACCATCCTAGGGGTCCATTTCATCCCATACTTTATCATGTCCTTCCTGTCCTTCTTTTTCTTGTTGTTAAACAACCAGGTTTTATACATCTGAGAGACCAACAAACAATCAGTGATCAAAACATTGATGTTTCAACCTGCATGGATGCATCACCTGCTTCCTCTTTTTCCATTATCCATGGTCGAGCTTCAGAGCAAAGAACCTTGCCACTCAAGCTATGGCTGTGAATATTCCTGGTTTCTCGTGCCATTTTGCGGCAGTCCACTCAGGAAGGTAGTTCTTGAGTTCCAAGATCTCTTGTTCCGTGAGCTTTTGTCTCAGTTGTAAACATTGTCCGTGTCTTCTGTCCGAGAAGTGAATAGAATCCCCTGATCTAGCCATGGTAAAATGGAGTGCAGAATGCACGGATGGGAGCCAACATTGAAGAAATAATTGTCCTGAGTTCAAATTTGAGCAAACCTTACATCTTGGTTCATCAATGAATTTCAGACGCACTGCCTTGCATCCAAATGAATTCGTAATAAGCCTACAACAAGACTGGATGACCCCATAATGGAATCAACCTGCCTCAGTGAAACCTCAGCCAACGACATCAGAACTAAGATGAAGATCACTCAATTGATTCCAGTGCAGAAATCATACAGGGTGGAAGCAAGGGGTAGGAAAGGTAGGAAGACATGGGTCATGGTCCCACTGGCCAGTGTGAGGAAATGTGCCAGTAGGTGCATGCCTACCTCCCCCCTGGAATCACCAACACTTGATCCTGTTCAGGCTCCACCTCTTTGGGAAGACATTGCCAATGATGCATATGAGCTCAACCAAGGATCATTTGAGCCCTTGCACCTGCCAACAACCATGGCAAGTTCATTGAAGATGTTGCAGCATCATTCAAAAAATGGCTAAATATATGAAATGCAGAGTCAGAACGATTACCTTAGACAATGGCTGCCAAAGCAGGAATCATATCTCCATCACCTCCTGGATCTGTTAGGTACTGTGCTGGCTCAAGAGGCAGAGGGGTCAGAGCTTGGCTTCAGCTCTTGCGCTGCACCCTTAGCCGAGTACGTGCCCCGAATTTGGAGCGGGTCCGACGTTGTCCGATGGTAGGATGGGTGGACCGCTAGGGTCCGCTTTGGGGGTCGGGGAGTAAGAGCTGCTAGTGGCGGACCAACTAGGAGCGGAGTGGAGAAGGCGGGGAATGATGCGGGGGGTGAATAGGAGCAGGGGGAATGTCTGGTGGGAGCGGAGAAGGCGAAGGATAATGCGGAGGATGGAAAAGGGTCAGAGGGGAATATTGAAAGGGGCGGAGAAATAAGGGAGAGACTTAGAGCATGGCTCTAAGTCAGAGTGGAGGGTCAGAGGGTCAGAGGTGACAACAAGCTGAAGCTTGTGTCCAGAGGAGGTGAGGTCCTACTGAGAATTCTCACAAGTAGTAACTGCGAGAAGATAAGTAATATTAAGACTAAGGGAAAATATCTAAGTACATGATATGTTATATACTTCTATGTATGAGGCAGTGACCAGGATAACTATGTAGTAAAGCAATGTACCAAGGACATCATTTGTAAGTACTTTACATAGGAAAGACATAAGTCAGGGCGGATATCAATATGTACGCGTCAGATCAGTGATCGAGTGGTAATAGGAATTACTGGTGATCCGGAAGTAATGGTCTAAGTACCGAAAAGGAAAGGCATATATCTAAAAGGGGAAAGAGGTCCAGTTGAATGGAGAGGTTTATGGAAGGTTGAGCAGTCGAGCGGAAGTGTAGGGTGGAATGCGGACTTGTGATAGGACAGAGCGGAGGATGAATGGGGCGGAGGGGTTGGAAAGCGGAGTGGATATTAGTATCGGAGCAGTCGAATCAGGTATATGACAGGATCGAGAAGCTCCCCCAGAAAATAGGAGGTGCTCTATCTGTGACCAGGATGGGGTATACAAATGTCAAGATTGTCTTGGGGAGCCCCTGTATTGCACAGGCTGCTGCAGGAGTCAACATCGATGCAATCTTTTCCACTGGATCAGTCAATGGAATGGTCAGTTCTTTGAGCAAAGTTGTCTCGCTCATGTCAGACTCGTGATACACCTCTGTCATGATGGAAAGCAATGTCTGGTTCTCATGGATAAGTGGGATTTGTTTGAAGAAGATGAATCCGACGACCACATCAAACCAGAAGATTTACCATCTGTCTTGGGCCCCAAGTTCCAGCTGAAGGACAATACCATGGTCATTGTCGACAGGTCTGGAGTTCACTGGCTCAAGGCTTAATGCTGCGGCTGTCCCAATGCCATGAATCTGGACATTCAAATGTTTCAACATGGCTTGTTTCCTGTATCTTTCAACAGGCTGAAGACCTTGTTCACATTCAGTGTTCTTAATGACTTTCTGCTGGACAACCTTGAATGTAGCACCTTGGCAATGAATTATTACAACAAGCTTCAGCGAATGACCTTGAGCACATTTCCACACCTTGTGCTGGTAGGGGACCGTCTATACCTTTTAAGGATCTTTATACTCACGGGAGATGTGGGCAGGATTGATACCAAGAGCTCATGAGGGTCTCCCAGCAGTGGAAACACTTGAAGAACATGAAGTGGCATGGCTTCGGCCATTATTCCAACCACCGCGAGCCAGGGGACCTCACATTATTCTGCCCAGCATGTCCTCAGCCTCGCATTAATCTATTGCTGACAAGAGAAGAATCACTTGATGAGTGAGTTGTGTTGAATATGCAATCAAGGAAGAGGATATTAAGAACTCCAAGCTGGAAATACACCAGGTCATTTGTGATGGATGGGAACTTCAAAGCAGAACACCTGCATCCTATCAACCCAGATGATGAAGTATGGCTGTCTGATGGATTTGGATTCATGGTTGGAAAGGAAAGGTACCAGAAGCATCTTGCAGTAGCTACTGATACTTTGGACAGGTCAAGCTGCAACAACCATTGAGCTGTCAATCCAGCGAATGCAGCTCAAAGCTGGAGTCCACCGGGATCAGGGGGGTGGTCTGTGCCCAACACAGTTGCTTTGTTCCACACTCAATCGTAGATTTTCAGAAAGGAGAAAGGTCAGTAGAAATCACCATTCAATGGCCTGGAAGTAACCATGAATTGATCTCAGACAGATGAACATGGATTATGCCCTGTGCGAGGCTGCGGCATACAACATGAAAGGCATCACCAAGGCTGTCACCTTCTACTACATCAACTGTCAGTACAACAAGCATTTTTACGCTCAAGTGAATCAAGGTCCATTCTTGACAATGGTTCTGGAGCTGACCATTGTTCCCAGAATCGGGCTTTGGCATGTGCATGGACATCAGGACAGCTGCTATGTGAGATATGCATTGAACTTCATTGAAGGCATCAGTCACATTGATGGAAAGATCATGGAGACCCTGTGGGCCCCCTCAACCTTATATCTCCTTCCACTTGGGGAATGTCTTCGCCACATAGGAAAGAATGTCTTGATTTTCAGATGAATGATTCCAATTTCTGCAAGATGATTTGTGTTAAGGTTGTGCTCAAGGGAAAGGTAACTCAAAGGGCTTGGCTTCTTTGGACAAGTCCGGAGTAGAAACAGAACAGAGGTAGACTACCCTAAGGTAGAGATGGAGATATAGTCTTAAGGATTAACCCTAAGACTCGGAGGTGGACAGGAGATTAGACTCAAGTCTGGAGAAGCAGGAATGAGCAGAACTAAGATGATATTCCAATTAAGGAGTACTGGAGCTTTACAGGAGTTTTGTCATATACTGGATCCAAGCACCTCCAATAGCACCTATGAACATTCCCACTGCTGGTTTAATCCCCTGTTTCCCTGTCCACTCCATCCTTCCTTCTCCGACAATGCACGAAGTGCATCTCAGCAGGACAAGCCCTGCTACCTCCGCTCCTCCAACACTACCCCTATTTCCTCCGACACCACATCCCTACCATCCGACCCTATCTGGGGCTCCACACCTCCACTCTGTCAGTCCACCCGATCCTATTCCTACTTCCTCCACCATCTCCGCTTTTCCAACCCACTTGGTTCCTCCATTTTCTCTCATATCAGTCCACCTGACTATTAGTCCGCCCAACTGCCTCACTGGTCCACTTCTTGACTAGGAACCACTCAACTGGTCCTACCTCCTTTTGGTATCATAGCTCCTCCTTTTGGATCACTGGTAATCCCTATACCGAGTGATTATTGATCCGCCACATACATACTATTCTCCAAGCCTCTTTCTTGTATGTCTCAATCATCTTTCTAGTAATTCTGTACACTCAGCACATAGCCTTCTGCTATGCTATGCTACTTACTTAGAGTATATAAACATATGTACATCTGTCTGTAGATCTTTAGTCTGAATATTACCTTTTCTAAGCCCTGCTCTCTTGTCCTTGCTCTTGGGCAATACCCTTGACAAACTCCTGTTTGCTGGCCTAGGGGATTGACTCCCTAGGTCGGCCACCTTCTCTGCTTGTCCAACTTCCCGTGCCTCCGCTGCCTTTCCTGCACATTGTTAAGACCATGCTCAGGGGTAAAGCGGAGTCTGAGGGGCTTGGCTTCAGCTCGTACGCTGCGCCCCTTACCTGAGTACATGCCCCTAATTTTGGAGTGTAGTCCGACATGAGTTCTATGAGTTCCGACAGGATGTCAGAATGGGGGTCCTCTGAAGGAGGACCAACGGACTACTAGGTGAGCATGGGAAAGTTGGGCAGGGGTTGTTCCGCCCAACAGGAGGGAGGCGGGAGACTACTGTGGTCAGAACCAACAGTAGAAGCGGAGCGGAAGGAACTGCTTGGACGAAGTCTGAAGCAGAGCAGAATGGAGGGGACAGATGCGAGAGTGCGGGGTCTAGTTCCAATGCACAGGAAGTCGGAGGAGCGGAGGGACAGAGGATCAGAGGATCGGAGGATGGCTGACCTAGGGAGTCAATCCCCTAGGCCAGCTTTTAACAGGGGTTGACGAGGATCAGGCCCAAGTCAGAGAACAGAAGAGCAGGGCTTAGAAAAGGTAATATTCAGACTGAGTATCTACAGACAGATGTACATATGTTTATATACTCTAAGTAATTAGCATAGAATAGCAGGAGGTTATGTGCTGAGTGTACAGGATAAGAAGATGACTGAGACATACGAGAATAAGGCTCGGAGAAAAGTATGTACACAACGGATCAATAATTCCTAGGGTATAGGGATTACCGGGTACCCGAAAAGCAGAACTATGATACTAAACGGGGATAGGACCAGTTGAGTGGTTCCTAGTCTAGGGGTGGACTGGTGAGGCGGTGAGGCGGACTGATAGTCGGGCGGGGCAATACGAGCAGAACTGAAGGACCCCCGTGGGTCGGAAAAGCGGAGGGAGTAGGAGTAGGATCAGGTGGACCAATAGGGCGGAGGAGCGGAACCCCAGATAGGGTTGGATGGAAGGGGTATGGGGATGGAGGACATAGGGGTAATGTCGGAAAAGCAGAACGGAGTTGGGCAGAGGTAGCAGGGCTAATCCTGCTGAGATGCACTTTGTGCATTATCGAGGAAGGAGGAATGAAGCGGACGGGGAAACAGGGGGTCGGACCAGGGGTGGGGATGTTTGTGGGTGGTATTGGAGGTGCTCGGATCCGGTATATGACACACATCAGACTTATGGCTAAAACTCTAGTACCTCTGTCCTCCATGTTTCCATTCTGCTTTGGACTTCGTCTGAGCAGTCTCCTCCACTCCATTCCTACTGTTAGCTCTGACTACAGTAGCCCTCCAACTCTCCCCTGTAGGGTGGACCAATCTCCTTCTGATATTCCGGCACTCATCCAGTAGTCCAACCTCCATTCCGATGTCTCGTCAGGGCTTGTAGAAACTTGGGTTGGACTACAACCTGAAATTAGGGGCACATACTTGGGTAAGGGGCGCAGTGCACGAGCTGAAGCCAAGCCCCTCAGACTCTGTCTTACCCCTGAGCATGGTCTTAACAAGTTTATATACTGTAGGTATCATGTAAGTAATCAGTCAGCAAAGTAAAAGCTATGCTGAAAGCATATGGAAAGTCTATTAGTAAGAGTATAACAGATCAAAGCAATGAAGTTGGAAATGAAGTACAAACAGATGGATCAGTAAGCAAAGTGGAAAGGCATACAACCGGTAGCTGGAGAGCAGTATTCTAAAAGGAGATAGTCGTGAGTATGGAGATGAAGGTGGAGTGCCAGGCAGACAATAGGACGGAGACCCAGACTTTTGTAGGGGAGTTCCAGAGTTCTGGGTCCAGAGGTATGGGATATGACAATTTGCATGCAAAGGACTCTTTGCCAGAAATTCAAGGGGGTGAAACATAGCATCGCTGAAAATGGGAAGGCATTTGATAGACTCAATGAGGCAGCACCTGAAAGCTCAAAGACATTGTGGTTGGTGAGTGAGAGGGTTGTGCAGTCCAACAGAATACATGATCCTGCTGCAATGGACATATATGAAATCAATATCTGGAAGGGTGAGATTATTCGATGACAATCAAAGTGTTTGAACTCATGGTGCCTACAGCACTGAGCAAGAAGGAGATCAAGCTCAGATTACCAGAGGAGAATCATATTCATCATGCATCACCTTCCCACCGATTTGTTGCAACATGGATATTAATGGGGTTGGTGATCAAAGAGGCTCAGATTGCATTGCTCATCAAGGTTTGAAGACAAAGACAAAGACCTACTGAGATACAGAGATTAGACATTGCCCGTCAATGTGATCAGGTGCAAGGAAAGATCAATGGATTCCCTCGGTCCACTCATGTGCAGCTCAGAGATGGATTTGATGGTAATGAAGATCCGGAGGACTTGAATTGTGCAATTTTCAATGATCTCGATGATGATCGAAGACTTGGGCATGGTCCCAGGTCATGTCGGTGGAGCAGGTCATGTCTCTGAATGCCAGTATATACAACAGGACACGGAAGCAAATGATGAACCTTGGTCCAGGGCAACACCAGCTTCAGAAATACCAACCTCTGCTCCAAGAGCAGCTCAAAATCAGCACTGCAGTCAGTGATCCAAATGCCCAAGGCCAGCAGAATGAGTCCCTTGCCTTGTTCTGGTCTCTCGACATCAATCTATTGGGACCAAGTGAGTTGTGGAATGACGAATGTGAGTCCAGGGATGTTCCACAAATGACAAGATGATCTGACACAGCCAATGTGAAGTTTACTGAGTTCATTGGCTTCAGGCGAAGGCGATGGCTGCATCATGCATCTGAGCATGCATAGCTCAATATCAGAGAGAGGCAGCTGAAATGGATTTGCTGTCTGTGTGAATCACCTACTTCAAAACTGGGCTTCAATGGGAGATCTCGGTGAGTACAGTGAATGATGGCTATGTTTTAATCAATCCTGACATCACCAACAGATCTTTGTGATGCCAGTCCAGCAGCATTCAGCTGCACACAACATGATTTCAGTCATGCTGATCCTGGTTACTCATCTGCTGCTCATGATCCCCCAGCAAACCTGGACTGAGGTTCCAGACCATGTTTTCATAGCACACCTGGCTTGGCTTCAAGATAGTGCAGCTCCTAGCGATCCCTCACACATCATTCCAGACTATGATACTCCATAGTGGATGGGGCACACCACAATTCTGAATGAACCTTGGTGATGGAATTGGGTCATGGAGTATTGTGGATTCCACAATGAGCATTGGCTGGTAAGCACTGAGTATCATTAATGACAGTTGATGAATCAAGACATCCAGGGTGGTGTTGAGGATGATAGTCTGATTCATCTGGAGATGGTGGATCAAACCTTGATCTCATTGCTTATGGGACTTTGGTGGATTTGAGAACACTTGGTGACATTGATCAAAGAGCAGTGGGAGGGTATCAGAGATAAGATGGGTGAGATACAAATGTACACTGGTATCCTCACCCGACTGCAGAGAGCCAGGGAGGTGTGCAGCACTGGATTGCAGGACTGATTGGGATCCATAGGAAGGTTGTAATGCTTCAGCATGCCACCATGTATATACTGTAGACATATTCAAATTCAGAGAGTCACCGAGTCCCACATATTGAGTGGGCACTGAGGACCAACCCATCAGCACTGTTTACTCAGTACTGAAGACTTGGTGAACTCCTTGGTAGTCAGTTGTTGCTCGGTATTCGGTCCACGATCCTGGACATCCCAACCCTCAGTACAGAGCATCGACTATGTGATACTGCATGAAAATGCTGACTTTGTTGGTACTTCTTTGTACTGAATCACCAGTACTCGGTGCATCTTTGATACTCAATGTTCAGTATTTGGTCATTGGTGCTCCATACCAAGATCATACATCATGTCACCCTATTTGATCCTCGCAATCTCCGCCACACTTGATCTGATATCCCCCTTAAAGCCAAACTGTAGACATCATCTTATACTTGCCATCAGATTTCCCACCGTCAACTACATCCCTTCATCATGAATGTGTCCCCAGACTCCAAGATTGAGATATCCTTCTGGATCTCTTGGGCCCTGACCATCGCTCATGAGGCGAGTGAATATACAGAACAGAAATTCAATGCAAACAAGATGGGAGGGGACCCGTTCATACCTTCTCCTCACCTAGACACCAATCTGGTGATGGCTTGTGATTGATTGGTCAATTGCCTGATAAAAGCATATCACAATCCTAGTGAGTCGGAATGCAGATCTGGATCTTCCATTTCATCAGTCAGATTCCTCAATCACAGTTCAGATGCAGATCAATATTGCAAGATACAGCAAATTGATATCCCCAAAGGACACTGGCCATAATGAAGAGAGAGAGAAGAAGCTGCTTGACAGGTCTCCTCCTGGCCATGAGGGTACCAAGTTTGTTGACATGCCCGCCACAGTTCTTGATGTCACTGGTGCCATTATTGTGTGGTATCTTCCAGGTGCACTCATGGACACTACCCAGGTATTTCAGATCCTTTATCGCCTGATGGATCTGGAATACTGAATATATGTTAAGACCATGCTCAGGGGTAAGGTGGAGTCTGAGGGGGTTGGCTTCAGCTCATGCGCTGTACCCCTTACCTGAGTATGTGCCCCTAATTTTGGATTGTAGTCTGACTCAAGTTCTATGAGCTCTGACAGGGCATCGGAGCAGAGGCTCTCCAAAGGAGGGCTGACGGACTACCAGGTGAGCACAGGAACATCAGGCAGAGGTTGGTCTGCCTGACAGGGGAGAGTTGGAGGACTACTGCAGTTGGAGCTAACAGTAGAAGCAGAGTGGAGGAGACTGCTCAGATGAAGTCCGAAGCAGAATGGAAATAAGGAGGACAGATGTACAAGAGTGTTGTGTTACGGCTGTGCTTATCTTGCTTCTTTTTCCCTTGAGACATGCTTTCTAAGCATGTCTCTTATCATGCTATATTTAATTCGGTATTACTCAGACACCTCATTGCTTACACATGTGCTTACTGATACATACCTATTATTACATCAGACCCTGTACCTTCTGTACTATATAAACCCTGGCTAGGTGACGCTGATTCTTCAGCTTAACCTACGCTGGTTTTCCTTTGAACATCTGACTCGACTCTAAGTTACCTCTTCGGTACTTAGTCTTTACTTGAACTTGGGCGTTCCTTAGACATTTGTCTAGGACGTATCGACAGACCAGCTCTATCACAAGACGACGCTACCCTAGTAGTCGTCACGATACATTGTGGCTTATAGAGAACAAAGAAGGTACTCCTTGGAGTCAGACCGAGAAGAAGAAGAAGAACACTTTTCTGAACCAGGTTCTCCTATCCAAGAGGATAAGAATGAATACTTTGAAGGATACAGACCTGATCAACCAGGACCATCGAACCCGCCACCACCATCACCACCTAGATTCCCAACACCTCCTCCACCACAGATACCTAGACCACCACCTAAGAAAATGGGTGAAATCAATCTGAACAGACCGGCCATTTTTGATGGTTCGCAGAAACAGGCCAAAGCCTGGTGGACGTCCGTTTCCACATACATAACCGTGAACAAAGACATCTACGACAACCATGAAAAATGCATTGCATTTGCAATGTTGTTCATGCAGAAAGGACACGCTCAACAATGGGCTACAGGATGGATTAACAAGAAACATGATACTGCGACCCCTATGGGGAAATGGGACGAATTCATTAAGGAATTCAAGGCAGTATTCTTCCCAAAGAACGATACACTCACTGCCATCAACATGTTGATGAAAGCGAAGCAAACTTCCACCATTTCGGCATACATTGCCTATTTCAAATGAATCTCGGCAGAAGCTGAATGCATAGATGCAGATGTCGAAACAACGTGTTTCAGACAAGGACTCAGAAAAGAAGTTCAAGAAGCAATCCTCATCAGGGAGAAAATGCCCGCAGATATCAAAGAGTGGATTGAAGCCACCAGAGAATACGAATCTAGGAGGCAGCTCATAAACTCTGGAAGCTTCTCAAAGAAGAACGACCCATACACGATGGACATAGACAAAGTCGACATCGATGACGAAGAAGCAACTCCAGTCCGCAACACTCGACTTTCTCGGTCTGAGCAAGACAGACGTCGCAAGTTGGGACTCTGCTTTAAGTGTGGAAAGAAAGGGCTTATGAAGGATTGCCCCAACCACAGAGACTCCGCTCCGGGTTGGCAGAAACCGGTCGGACGACCGGTCCGTGAAACAAAGATCGAACAAGATGATCAAGATGCTGAGTATCAGGAATTCCTCGCTTGGAAAGCTTGGAAGGTGTCGAAAGTACCTTCTTCTTCTAAGAAGGATTTCTAAATGGGGAGACCGGACCGGCGTTGGAAACCCCTAGTACATCTATCGGACTCATTGTATCTTCTGTAGGCGATTCGAATTCTATGCGCATTCCTATTTCGATCGAATCCTGCAAGTCCGATAAAACCGCCGAAGCAGCTGCCCTAATTGACTCGGGCGCTGCTGGAACATTCATTGACTGGAAATACATACGAAAGAACAATTTCTCAACTCACAATCTCTCTTCACAAATTGAAGTCCGGAATGTGGATGGAACAAAGAATAAAGCAGGAACCATTAGCAAAGCCTGCAATCTATTCTTCTCAGCAGGAGGCCGAACCATGTTTGCAACCTTCCTTATCACCTCGCTGGGAGGCGAAGACATCATCCTCGGACTTCCCTGGCTCAAGAATGAAAATCCAACAATAGACTGGGCTAAAAGCGAAATCTCGCTAGAAGAAGACCCAATCATGATTCAAACCCCTATCACTGATAGAAACAAACACGCTTCTATGCAACCAAGAATAGAAGAAATCCTAGACGAAGAAGTGTACATATCCTCGGAAGAAATTCCTGAAGAACAACAGGAACTTTTACCCAAAGAAGAAGAAGATGAAGAAGAAATAATAGAAGAACTACAAGACGATGAAGTTCTTATCGCCTACGTCAAAGGCGAAGAATTTGTGGGAGTCTACAAGAAAATCAACTTTGACTCACCACTCACTCAAGAACACATTCCTCCCACTTTCTCCTTTGTGTCCAGAATGAACAGAATCTCTAAAATTCCTAACTCTGCTCGATTCATGTTCTCCCCTCTTCCTGTTAGAAAAGCTGCCAATGTCGCCCAACAACTAGCACAGGAAGCGTATGCTAAAGAAAAGCCTAAGACGTTTGAAGAACTTGTACCCGAAGTCTTTCATATGTACAAAGACGTCTTCGACAAGGCAGCCATGGACACATTACCCCCATCTCGACCCTTTGACCATAAAATAAAACTGAAACCCGACTTCGAACCACGCTCTTGCAAAATCTACCCTCTATCTGCACCAGAAGAAAAGGCGATGAACGAATTCGTGGACAAACACCTAGCGAAAGGAACCATTGTGCCATCACAGTCCCCTCAAGCATCTCCCTTCTTCTTTGTAGGAAAGAAAGATGGATCACTCCGACCATGTCAAGACTATAGAAGACTTAACGATGCAACCGTAAAAGATGCATACCCACTTCCTCGAATCCCTGACCTCATCGACAAGTTAAAAGGCGCAACGATCTTCACTAAAATGGATGTTCACGCAGGATACAATAACGTCAGGATTCATGGTCCGGATAGATGGAAAGCAGCATTCAAAACATCAAGAGGACTCTTCGAACCAACAGTCATGTTCTTCGGTCTATGCAATGCCCCCGCAACATTCCAAGCAATGATGAACGACATTTTCTCTGACATGATAGATGAAGGATGGATGGTCATCTATATGGACAATATCTTAATCTTCTTCAAAGACCTCGAATCCCACCATCAGCGAACAATGCGAGTATTACAATGACTTCACGATCACCAGCTCTCCCTTAAACCCGAAAAATGTATCTTTGACACCACTGAAGTCGAATACCTTGGCCTCCTCATCCGTCCTGGACAGATTTGCATGGATAAAGTCAAATTAGACGGGGTGGTCAAATGGGAACAACCCACAACCGTAAAACATGTTCACTCGTTCCTGGGATTCGCCAACTTCTACCGACGTTTCATTGCTGATTATTCAACCATCGCACATTCACTTATCAACCTTACAAAGAAAGATTCCATCTTTGATTGGTCACCTGCTTGCGAAAAAGCATTCGCCGACCTAAAGAACTGATTCCTCTCTGCTCCCATGCTTTCTATTCCAGACAAAGACACCCCGTTCACTATTGCCGTGGATGCATCTCTCTATGCTACCGGTGGAGTACTCCTTCAAAAGGACTCCAATGGTGACTGGCACCCTTGTTCCTACCTCTCCCAAACTTTTCCCCCTGCAGAACAGAACTATCAAATCTTTGACCGCGAATTACTAGCTATTATTCGTGCTTTGGAAGCTTGGTGCCATTACCTAGAAGGTTCCCCTTTTCCGGTTCTTGTCATGACTGACCATAAGAACTTGACCTATTTCCACCAAGCGCAACAACTGAATCGTCAACAAGCCCGTTGGCTTCTATTCCTCTCCCAATTCGATTTACAACTCCAACACGTACCCGGCAAAGATCTTTCCATCCCCGATTCCCTGTCCCACCAACCTGATCATATTCCTGCTGACGCCACAGACAACTCGAATGTCACTGTCCTACCTGACGGACTGTTCATTAACCTCATTGACAGCACTATGCAGGAGAAACTTCATATCTCGTCTTCAGTTGACCCCGTGGTTCAACAAACCATCGATGCTCTTTTGAATCCCACCCTACCCCTCCCTATGAAATCTGCACTATCTGATTGGACCTTTTCCGATGCAATTCTCACTTTCAAAGGTCGCAATTACGTTCCCCCCGGTCCTTTGTGCAAGGAACTGATTTCCCTTCATCATGACTCTCCCACTGCTGGTCATCCTGGTCATTTTAAAACCCAGGAAATCATATCCCGCGACTATTGGTGGCCCGATCTTCCTACCTTCGTTCGCAAGTATGTCGAAGGTTGCGCCATTTGCCAACAAAACAAGGTCAATACCCACCCGACAGCGCCACCTCTTTGCCCCATCCCCGCCCCCACTTCATCCCACCCCTTTGCCCAATGCTCCATCAATCTCATTGTTGACCTTCCACCATCCAATGGCTTTGACTCTATCATGGTCGTGGTAGACCATGGGCTTATGAAGGGGGTGGTGCTCACGCCTTGCAACAAGATGATCGATGCAGAAGGAGTCGCCGACGTGTTCTTTAACCGCGTCTATACACGCTTCGGACTCTATGACAAGATCATCTCGGACAGAGGACCTCAATTCGCAGCTAAGTTCGCACAAGAACTAGGAAGACTTCTCGGATACAAAATCGCACTCTCCACTGCCTTTCACCCTCAAACGGATGGAGAAACAGAACGAGTAAATCAAGAGCTAGAAGTGTACCTCCGCATCTTCTGGATGAACGATCAAACCTTGTGGTCAGAAAAACTTCCCATGGCAGAATTCGTACACAACTCCCAACTCCACTCCGCACGCAATGCTTCTCCCTTTTATCTCATGATGGGATACCAC